TGTCAACCACAACTAGGACATACTTTTTGCCCTCAGATGGAGACAGTTCAATAAAATCCATCATTAAATGACTGAAAGGTTCACTGGGCGGCGGATGACCAGCTGGAGTCAGCTGTGTTGCTCTACCTGCATTAAGAGTAGCATAGATCATGCAGGCCTGGCAAAATCTCTTAGCATAAGAGCTGAAGCCTTTCGTAAACCATTCTGATGTTAAAGCAGCAGTCATGCCCGAATGTGAACAATGATCCAATCCATGTGTTAATTTTGCAAAATGTGGGAAGAAATATTTAGGAAGGCATGGTTTTTCATTTGGGCCAAGCCAAATACCATCCTTATCACATTTTGCACCTGCAGAAGCCCAAACATGCTTCTCATCAGCAATAGCAAAGCTCTGTAGAGCTACGAGGTCATGCAGAGGAGGAGGCAGAGAAGTGTGTGTGTTAGTGGACTTAAGCGCTGTCAATAGAGGAGACACAGAAGCTGCGAGCTTTGTGGCAGCATCTGCCCTGTTATTTCCACGAGACACAATGTCTTTGGAAGAATAGTGTGCGTTACATTTACACACAGAGATAGCCTTAGGTAAAAGAAGGGCATCCAAAAGATCAGAAACTTGTTTGGCATTAAAAATGGGTTTCCCATCTGTTTTCAAGAATGAACGATGTTTCCAAAGAGATGCAAAATCAAAACCCACGCAAAAAGCATATCTAGAGTCAGTATAAATAGTCACAGTTTTCCCCTTAGCCAGTTTACAGGCCTCTATCAAAGCAACAAGTTCAGCAGTTTGGGCTGAGTATGTTTTTGGCAAAGACCCAGAAACAAGAGTTTCATGAAGAGAACAGACAGCGAACCCCACCTGGTTTACACCAGTTTTAGGGTTGCGAGAAGCAGAACCATCAACAAACAGCAACAGTTCTGGATTTTCCAAAGGCAAATCAGACAGGTCAGGCCTAGGGGTGCAAACTTCATCCAGCACAGCTACACAATTGTGAGCTTCTCCATCCTCCTCAGTAGGAAAAAGAAGTGGCTGGGTTTAACACAGTGCACTGTGACATTTGGCATGTCAAGTAAAACAGAAGTATATCTCAGCCAACGAGCCACGGACAAATGACTAGTTTTTTGTTTTAGAAAAATAATAGCAACAGAATGTGTCACCAGGACTGTGGGTTCAGCATAACCCACAATGTCACGTGAAGCTAAGACTGCTTTCTCTGCTGCTGCCACTGCTCTAAGGCAGCCAGGCAGACCCCCAGCAGCAGGGTCTAGCTTAGCAAAAAAGTAAGCCACAGGTCTGAGCTTCCCTCCATGATCTTGGAGAAGAACAGAAGTCATGCATCCGTTCTTTTCATCAACAGCCTGAACAAAAGGCTTATTCGGGTCTGGAAGGCCTAAAGTTGGAGCCTTCTGCAAAGCTAATTTTAGCTGAGTAAAGGCTGTTTCTGCTTCAGGAGTCCATGTGATTTTATCATTGGACTGAAGACCTTTTCCATGTATAATAGCTCCTAACGGGGCTTCCATACATGAGTAGTTTGGAATGAAATTCCTGCAATAGGAAGTCATGCCTAAAAAAGACATGAGCTGTTTTTTAGTAACAGGTTTTGGGATGTTTTGAACTGCAAAAACACGCTTTGAGGATAACTTCCTCCCTTCAGAAGAGATATCATGACCCAAAAAGGTTACTTGGTTTTGTACAAACTGCAGGTTTGAAAGCGAGGCTTTGTGTCCCTCCGCATGTAGATGTTTTAACAAGGCCACAGTGTCTTTTTCACACTGCTCTTTGGTGGGGCTA